CATTTGCTGCATTGAGCAAACATTTCTGATTGGAGGCAGCGCCAACCCTGACCTGCCCCCTACAGAATATTCCAGCAACCCTTTTGCTTAGCATGCACACTCACATGCAGCACTAGCACCTGTTTGGCCGTCAGTTCCACAAACCCTTTAGAGGGGTGCTTTCCTCATTGAAGAAAACAAATCTCCAGTTCAAATGTTGCCCTTGCTTCCCTGCCTGCCAATGTGTGCACACACTAACCTGCTACAAGCCCAACTCACCCCTGGACTGTTAAGATTAGGTTGGGCTGGCCTCCTTACTGCGTACATAAGCCTCAAACAGGCCTCTGTCTGTAAAGCAGTTTTCAGGACAAGCTTCAAAACTCACATGCCATAAGTAGCTTGGCCTTTTAATGCTTAACAATTTGTCAGTGATTTATTGGTGTTCAGCAACGGGAGCCAGAACAGTTTGCCTTACTGGTCCTCTCTGCCTCAGAATTACAGCTGGATGAGGGTTGTTCATAATTCTTTAAATGTTTTTCTAGTGGCCAGCTGGCACAGATTCAAATGTGGTTAGTTCCTGAGAGCTACCACAGACCAGTGTCTTTATTGGGTATTTCCTTGCCAGTTAAGGCAAAGCGAAACGGCACAGCACCATCTAGTGGAATGACAGTTTTTGTCATTGCTTCCCCCCCCAGACACACACTCAACAGCAAGAGATTCTGTAGATGTAGCTAAAAAGGTCTCTGGTTATTTTAATTGACTGTACAGGTATATTTTACTCCATCTATTAAAAATGGTTATATATTGGGATTAGGAGTACCTAGGCTTTCCATGTATTGGGCCAGGAAATACCTGAGTGAGATTTTTAGCCTTCAGGGTGACCATCCAAATTTATACAGCTCCTTTGCATTGTAAGCATCTGGTCCTGGTGTTGCAATAAAATTTGGTACTCATATTGAATGTGTATCAGCTTTTAGTAGGTAGGAAGTTGCTTGAGCTCACCAGTAATTTAAAAAAATACTCCCAGTTATTGAGCAGGCCTGGCTCCTGTGCTGACAGAAAAAGAATGACCACACTCCTGCTACATTAAGTAGCTAATATATTGGACTCTCCACGTTAGGGATGTAAAATTCTTTGCAATCAGTTAACCATTGTGTTTAACTAGTTACTAACGTCACTGGCATCTCATGGGATTTGGGGAGAAGGCTGTTTGTGACCGTCCGGAGGGGTCCAGATCCCCATTTGAGAAACCCTGCTCTAGTCATTTTGGGGGGAATAGAGGGGAACGGCATGCTTGAGAATATCAGTCTCTGGTTAAAGTGAGCCAGGGAAGCTGGAGATGGCCGCATGTACGCTTGCTGGTAAGAAAGTGAGGTTGCAACTTACAAGTGTTTTGGGGAACTCTCACTGGCCTTAAGTCCTTAACTGCTGCTTTTGGTGTTTTTGTGGATCCAGTTCCTACAGATGAGTTTCCTTAGCTTTTTATAGTTATGACTAATGCTGTGCCCTACTGCAAAGACATGAGGAAAAAATAGCACAAATCTCACTCCTTTTTCTAGGTCCCAAATCCAGCCACAGGCTGGAGCAGTGGGTGAGGAGAGCTTGCACTGAGCAGGAATCTGAATAATATAAGCGTAAGGAAGTCATCTTGAATTTGTCAGTGGCTAGTTTGGGAGCTTACAAACAAGCTGTTCTTTTCTATGCAGTAGAGTGGAAACAATAATCCTTATTCCAGAGTTTACTTATGAAAGGAAAATGAAAGGTGCTCCGGATTGGCACAGCTGGCTACCTTCAGCATTTGAATTCTTTTTAGAAAACAGTTTAGTACTGGTAGATGTGACAGATGGTGCATTTCAAAGAAGGGTATATACAAGGATGAGGTGAAAGGAGTATCAGGGAGAGACTACTATACAGAAAAGTAGCAAACTTTTTTTCCAGTCATTGTAACAATATAGCTACATGTGATCTGTAATCATTCATGTTTTGGGGAAAAAACCCACTTGTGGAAGAAACACTTTGTGTTATCAGCATAATATATTTAGGCCAAGTAGGCTCAACCAACCCCAAAACTCAGTAACTTTAGCTGGAGATATTTTAAACTTTTTATTTCTTAATGTTGACACTGTGGTGAAAAGCATCCCTGCAAATAGGTTTGCTAACTATAAAGCTCCCATTGTTTTGCTATGAAAACGGTAAAATGCTTTCTTTATGTACTAGTGTGGAAGCTAATGATCTCGCTCAATGCAGTTAATAGATAGGTCCATCAGTGATCAAAACTACAGTCCTATGCTCCAGGTGTCTCTAAACCTTCAATTGCCAGACATAAGGACTGGCTCACTTGAAAGTTCCCTCTTGCATTCTTTCTTTTAGAAGCCCATCAGCAGACAAGATACAGAATCCAGTATGGTGGCTTTTAATGAGTATATGAAGTGTATTTAATTACTTGCAGTGGGCAAGCAAATGCTCACTCTCATTATAAGACTGTGTTATATCTACACTGGCAGCTTTTTGCGCAAGAACTCTTTTGCGGAAGAGTTCTTGTGAAAACACTGTTCCACGAGAGAGCATCTACACTGCCATGTGCTTTTGCGCAAGAGCATCCATGGCAGTGTAGACGCTCTCTTCCGCAAGAAAGCTTTGATGGCTATTTTAACCATAGGGGCTTCTTGTGCAAGAACTTCATGGTGCCTGTCTACACTGCCCTCTTCTGAAAGAACTCTTGCGCAAGAGGGTTTCTTCCTGGTGGGGAGAGGAATAGCTCTTCTGGAAGAAGCCCAGTTTTACAATGCTATACTGTAAATTTACTTCCGGAAGAACGCTCGTGCAGTGTAGACAGCCGGAAAGTTTTTGCAGAAGACTGGCTGTTCTTGCGCAAGAAGCTGCCAGTGTAGACGTAGCCAACAGCTTTAATTATTTGTTCTATTTAAAAGATTGCTTTGCAAACTGAAAACTTCTAGAGACTAGATGTTTGGACTTGTTGAAAAAACATTTTTCTGTCAAATGATGAAAACATCAAGAATGGACTGCATAAAAAGCTGAAACTAGCTTTAAAAGTTGCATGGTGCTTTCCATCACATCATTCCTAAGGATTAACCATGAGGGTAGGGAGCCAATAAGAGCTAGCAACCAACTTACATACAGGGTGTTTTCCTATAATTTTAATGAAAACAAGAAAGGGTATAAGACACTGAAGAGAGCATCCTCTTCTCCCCACCCTGTTTAGATGACAAAGCACTCCCACACCTCATCCTGACCACCCCTTCAAATAAGCTGCCACAGAGTAAGAAGGAAAAACATAAAATCAACCCCAGGAAAACCTCCCTAAAACTTCAACCTGGACTGGTGGCTGAGAGGAAACTAACTTAGGCACTTCCAAGGGACTAAATTTAAAACTCTTGTAATGACTTTACTGAGAGCATGAGATGTGGTGCAGTTTCTTCTGTTAGGCACCAGATGACTAGCCAATGTACTCCTGGAACGGAGGCAGCAGTAAACAGTAACTTTGAGATTTAATTGCACATAGGATTAAAAATGATGACTTGGCCTGGCTCAAGAAAGTTCTTTAAATGGATTAAGTAATTTAGTTACTCATTTTCATAAGACTGTTAATAAATAACCATCCAGTAAGCAACCAACAAGGAGGCTTTTTGCCCTTACAGAACCAGTTTCTAATAAGATACTTAACTGATTTTGGAAAATGCACCCTTTGGCCTTAATTTACAAAATGAAAGACCCCAAAGACAGCTCACTCAAGGATGTTGTTTGTTAAAGTTTACCACAGAGAGATGGCAGCAAAAATCAACAGTGTCATTTTGTGCTTTGTTGAACGCCTTACCCACTCTTTTCATGGTTTTACGTATGGTGTCTCCAAAGGTATAGAAGAAACTTTACCTGGCTGAAGTAAACTAAAAATTATCCAACAATTAGTTACCCTTTTCTTTCCCACTACAGTGATGGCCAAAGAGTGAAACTATGCAGAAATCAGAACACTCCTTTATGTAAGAGTGGAAAGGAAAGATTTTAGCTCCAGCATTTCAGACAGTATGGGAGACGCCTCTGCTTTAGTGCACGGAAATAGTGAAGATTGCTATACTCTTGCAGTACTTCCCATTGGAGATGATACAGGGGAAGGTATGTTCTTTTAAGGCTCACATCAAAGGTGGCTTCCCAGTTGAAAAAAATTCCTTGATAGTTGGTTAAAAAAATGTTTTTGTAAGTGGCTACAGTCCATCACAAAGGGGACCTAAACACAGGAA